CTTTAAAAGTAAAATAAAACAAAACTGGAAAAATATCCTCTGGTGAGAATTAACAACAAAAGGTTAAAGTAGCCATTTTTATATTTGACGCCATAAAAAAAAAAAAAAAAAAAAAAAAAAAAAAAAAAAAAAAAAAAAAAACCACCCAAAAAACAAAAAACAAAGACAGCTGGTGGTTCCATGTGACCTGGACGTTCCCTGAACGAAGGCCTGAGAGCCAGAGCCCAGCGCAGCCCCTCCCCGCCCCGCCAGCTCCCGGCCCGGGAGAGGGCGGGAAATGCCCCTCCACCGAGGCCCACATGCAGAGCGCACGCGGGGCTGGCGCAGGAGGGAGCCCCAGGGCTGCGTGGGCACCCAGGACTGCGCACCCACAGGCAGCCCACCGGCCCCCCGCCCCCTCCTTTCCTCCCAGACGGGCCCTGCCTGCCCCGCCGCCTGATGCTGCTCCCGCCCAGCACCGGGCCCTTGCTCCTCCTCCTCTTCCAGCCCACAGGCCCGCCAGGAGGCTCCCCGTGCTGCACACCCTGCAGCCACAGGACCGCGATGGGGACCATAATTGTCCTTGGCAGCTGCGTGCACTGTCACACTGCCTTCCCCGGCACCCAGCAAACGCACTGCGCAGTGGGTGGGGGATGGAGTGATGGATGGATGGGCAGATGGACAGCAGACCAATGGATGGGCCTGCCCGCTGCCCACCCCAAGGGGCAGGTGCCTGGGGAGGGCAGGTGCCTGGGGAGGGCCGGGCCGGGCCTTCCTAACCCTCCGGCCAGGATGTGCATGGAAGCAGTTTGAGAACTGCTTCCCCAGGGAGCCCACTCACAGCTGCGCCTGCGGGGCAGCGCCGGCTCCCGGAGGCCCGGCTGCAGCCGCCCTGAGCGGGGAGGCCCGGCCCACGCATTCCCCCCCCCCTCCCCATTGACAGCCGGACGCGCCTGGGCCGGGCCGGATGCGCTTTGGGGAGCCTCCTCCGCTGGTGAATCCACAGGTGAGCCCGCCCTTGGAACGGGCTCATGCCGAGCAGCCTGCGAGGCGCGGGCCGCGTCCAGGATGGCAGCCCCCTTCTGTCCCTATTCCCCGCCCCTCGCTCTTTACCTGCCCCAATGCCCCTCCCGCCTCCTCCCTGCCTTCCTTCCTCCTCCTCCTCCCTCCTTCCTTCTTCCTGGTCACCCACCCCATGTGCCGCGGAGACCCCGCAGGGGCCCAGGGCCGCTCGGCCCGAGGCGGACAGCGCCCCCTGGTGGCCGGCCGCAGGAGGCTGCGGGGGGCGGGCTAGGTTCACTCATTAGCCATCACCCATCAGGCCCTGTCTGTGAAAAGTGCCTAAAACGGGCCAGAGACCCGCCACCACCAGCAATCAGGAGGGGGGTCCCGGAGAGGGGCCTCTTCACAGGGGGACAGAGTGCGACACCCTTTCTCAGAGGGTACCCCGAGATGAAGAGGATGGGGACAAAGGCATTGAGGCGGGAGGGGGGGCTGCGGAACCCCAAGGTCAGGAATTTGGAATTAGGGGGGTAGGGAACAGGACCCCCAGAATCTGTTAAAGGGTTTGGGGTTACCCTCCTGCAATGGGGAGCCACACGAGTCTGAGGGGAGGGATCCGCTTTGCATTTGAGGGAGAGAAGCGCCCTCTGGCTTCTGGGGAGGGGGAGGCATCACGGGCCCTGCACCAGGTGGTGAAGCTCCATCCCCGGGACAGGGGAGGGTGTGGGGGGCTGCCCAGCGGGTGGGGAAGAAACAGCTCCAGGTTTTGGGCTAGAGCCGCAGGACGCGGCCCAGCCTCCGGGCACACATTATAAATGGGGGAACATTTAGTGACAGTCACACAAGATCTGACACACCTGCCCCAACAGTGCCTTCCGGATACTGGACCGCTGGGAAAGGGGCTGGGAAAGGGCACACCACAGGGCTCATCGCCGCCCTGTCCGCAGAAGGCTGGAGACAGCCCGAGTGCCCCTCGCAGAGGCTGGCCAGCAAGGCCCCGCCCGGCCAGCAGTGGGACAGGGAGCGTCTGTCCCAAAGAATGAGGAAGCCACGTGTGAATGGACGCGGAGCAATCACCATGATAGATGGCCGAGGGAAAAGGGAAGGCACAGAGGGGAGTGTCTCTCAGCTACCACCTGTGGACTCCTAGTATAATCCAGAGGGCAACCAGTGAAAGGAACATAAAGCAATAAAATGTAATTGGTACAAAAGAGGAAGAGGAAGGGGAGAAAAGGGAAATAGGAGAGATGGGACGAACAGAAGATGAAGAGTCACACGAAAGGTATAGACTTAAGTCCAGGGGCAAAAGTAGGTTCATAGTTGTGAGTCCATGAAACAGTTTTATTCTTGTCTTGTTGTTATTATCATTATTGTATTATTTTCCATAGGAACAACGGTAAGCCTACTTTTGCCTCACCCTGAACATCGGCCTTACACTAAATGTTAAACCATTAAATGCTCCAGTTCAAAGGCAGAGGATGTTAGACAGGAGGTTAGAAAACACACAACTACCTCCTGCTTACAAGAGACAGGCTTCAAATACAAGCACACAGAAAGACTGAAAGGGAAAAGGTGGAAAAAGACGTATGTGGTGAAAGCATTAACCAAAACAAATCTCTTGTGGCAATATGAAAAATCACACAGGTTTAGACTTTGCTTGAAATAAAGAAGAACCCTTCTGTGAGGTTTAAAGGGCCATTTCCCAGGAATATGTAGCATTTCTAAGTTGGTATGTACGGAACACGGACCTCAATTACAAGCAAAGCAAAACTGACAAAACTAAGACGAGAAATAGGCAAGTTGCAACACATTTCCCATAGAGGGAGCCAGACACACACACACACACACACACACACACACACACACACACACACGTGCACACCCGGGAAAGGATAAAGGGCATTGCACCTGACACCTGCGGAATCCACAATTTCCTGATATATTTGAAACCCTTAACACGAAAGTTTAAGGGAAGGACTGAATCCTTCCCGTAAAGAATCTGTTCTCATCTGAGACCGGTTTGGCTCAGTGGTAGAGCGTCAGTCTGCGGACTGAAGGGTCCCAGGTTCGATTCCAGTCAGGGGCATGTATATTGGTTACGGGCACATCCTGGGTAGGGGGTGTGCAAGAGGCAGCTGGTCGATGTTTCTCTCTCATCGACATTTCTAGCTCTCTCTCTCCCTTCCTCCTCTCTGTAAAATATCAATAAAATATATTTATATATAAAAAAAGAATCTGTTCTCTGACTGTGGGTGGAATTAAGCTAGAAGTCCACAACAGGAAAATAATTTTAAAATCCCCCGTTTGGACATTAACCAAGAGATTTCTAAATAAGACAAAATAAATTGAAAAAGTAATCACAATGGCTGTTGGAAACATTTTCACCTGAGGGGGATGGAGGGGGAGGAAGGGAGGGGAAATGAGAGGGGCCCCATTCTGGGTGGTACAGACATGAGAGAGAGAGACTCTTTCAGCTAGGACTGAGGAACTCGTGTAAAACTGTTCCCACCATAACAATGAAAAGACAGGATGAACTGAAACGATGAAGCTCCTAGGAGAACAGATGTTCATGAACTTGAGCTAGACTTCTTCGACCCTGTAAAAGGAGCAGGCTTCCGGGTACCGGCAACGCAGGTCCCATGGCTCCATCTGGGCTGCAGGTGCACAAGTCCGCCCACCTGCCGTGACTCATCTCCCCCCACTCTGCTCCCTATAGTTTTTTCTGACACTTGCTCATTGTAACTGAGTTTTACAAAAATATATATTTTGTATTGACTTCAGAGAGGGCTAGATAGAAACATCAATGATGAGAATCATTGACCGGCTGCCTCCTGCATGCCCCCCACTGGGGATTGAGCCCACAATCTGGGCATGTGCCCTGACCCTTCCCCACTGAAGATGGAGTTCACAACCTGGGCTAGTGCTCTGACCAGGAATCGAACTGTGACCTCCTGGTTCACAGGTCGATGCTTAACCACATCATCGACCTGGGCTGTAAGAGTTTTTATAAAATTTGAGCCAAACTGACAATTGCTAGGAAACAAGATCTCAAATGCTCTGGAGGGTAACAGTTTTGCAGTTTCTTTTCCCCCTCGCTTCCCATCACCAATATGCAGTTCATTTTATGCATTTGGAATTAAGGGATGAAGGTGGGACAAAGTAAGTGGGATTGGATTCCAGAATAAGTAACAAGGCAATGTGCTGTATGAAGGTGCATACATCCATTTTTCAAAGGTGTTATTAACCTAGATACCCCAAAACAACGGAAAGGACTTAAGGCAAAGATAAACCTCTTACTAAAGAAGTTATACGCTTGAGGAGTGAATACCACCATGACCTGCCCATTTAGACCTTTATGATCAGATCATCCCATGTGGTTCCTTTCCGTTGAATCCCTTTCTCACCCACAACGTCTTTGAATGGTCTTAGGGCCCCCCAACACAGCTTACTGCTTCCGTTAGGGTATGATCAGTACCCCAAACATAGGCGCTTAAGAACTAAGAGAGGAAGGACTGACGGCGGCATCCGCCAAACAAGCAAAGCGCAACTCCCTCTAAAAAAAAAAAAAAAAAAAAAAAAAAAAAAGGTGGTTGGGGGGAACCAAACCAAAAAAAGTAAACAAACAAAAAAACAAAGCCCAGTTCCCCCGCGCTCGCCATTTCCAGGCCGACCCCACATCCCACCCACTTCCCGGGCCCCTCGCACAGCTGGAAGCCAGTCCTGGAACTGCGGGGGCAGGAGCGGGGTCCCAGGCCCCAGAACACCGCTCCGCCGGAAGAAGGTATCGGCTGGCGGCTGGCCCCGAGCTGTCATAGGGTAGCGCCGAGGAAGAGGCGGGACTTGGCCTAGTCCTGCTTCCTTAGTGGCTAAAACGAGGGAGCTGGCTGCTCATTGGCTAAGAGCGCGGCTCGGTCTCTGGGTTCTGATTGGCTAACGTCGAGAGCGAGCTGGGCGGTGACCTATCAGCCCGTGGGTCCGCCGTGGGTGAGTGGAAGAGACGGGCCCTTGCCCCGCCCCTCGGGCAAACCCCTTACTTTTTAAAAACACAATGGCCGGGACCGAGGGGTAGTTGGCCGCGAAACCGCGGGGCCTTCCCTCGGACCTTTGTCTCCGAGGCCCTGGAGCCCAGGGACTGAGAGAGACGCGAGCGCCGAGGGAGGCCGGAACGAATCCTTCGCGGAACCATCGAGGCAGGGCCTCTGGGCGCACGTGGAGGCACGGACCGCGCGGGCCGGGCCCGACCCGCTGGGATGGCAGCCGGGGCGACCGACGCGGGGCCGGGGGTCGCCATCCCCGTGGAGCTGCGGCGCGAGCAGCGCATGGTGTGCGTGGAGTACCCGGGCGTGGTGCGCGACGTGTCCAAGATGCTGTCCACCCTGGGCGGCGAGGAAGGCGTTTCTCGGGTGCGGAAGCGGGAGGCCCCGGGACCGCGCGGGAGGGACGGAGCTGTGGGGGCGCGGCCGGAGGGGCGGGGTCCCGGGGGAACCTGTGCGGTTTCCTTGGCAACGGAGCTTTAGGCGGGCGCTGGGCGGGCTTTGCTAGGGAGGCCGCCAGGAGCAGCCCGTTGTTCCCTGGAAGCAGAGGGAAAGGACTGTCGGGGAGACCCAGAGAGGGAAGGGGGTGTCCTCTGCACCCCCTATTCGGATGAGCCGCAGCCTCGGCGCCCCGGCCCGGAACGCAGCTCGCCCGCCGCCCCGCAGGGTGTGCTGGGCCCCACGTCCTCGTTGCACAGGGTGGAAACGGAGGCTCCGGACATTAAGAGCCGCTGATCTCCCTAGGGGGCGCGGGTGGGGGGCGAAGTGTTGTGCTGTTGGGGTTAAAGTAGTAACAGTTCACACCGTCCTAGGAGCTTGACGTGCATCCTGTCCACATTGGAACCCTGGGGGGGCGGGGGGCGGGAACTGTCACTGTCCGCATTTTACAAGGAAAGCCAGGTAGTTCAAGGCCACCAGGACACGGGAGCCGGGGTGAGTGCTTCCTTGTGCCAGGCTCTGTGCAAGTGCCTCTCGCCTTCCCGAACCCCAGCTCAGCTGGCAGTCATTCTCTGCAGCTTCCCAGCCGCTGAGCAGCAAGAGGCGCCCTCGTTTCCTCCGCGGTGCTTGGGTCTGACAAGTGAGCCTTTGGGGGACTAAGCGCTCTGAATGCAACGCAAGCTCCCGGCCCTTCTCCCACCACCGGGGTCACCCCTGCCGGCCGCTTAGCTGGCCACGGCCTCATCCGTCTCCCTTGGCCTCGGCACAGATCTATGGAGACCCCACCAAGAGGCTGGAGCTCTACTTCCGGCCCAAGGACCCCTACTGCCACCCCGTGTGTGCCAACCGCTTCAGTACCAGCAGCCTGCTGCTCCGGGTCAGGAGGAAGACGAAGCGGCAGGAGGGGCTGCCGGGGCCCGAGGCCCACCCTCAGGTCACGTTTGACGTGGAGATCCTTGGCACCGTCCCCACCATTTACAGATTCCAAGGTAACTACCCGTGCATTCTTACCGAACTCGGTGACCTCAGGGCCTGTGTCCCCACTGCCTGCAGGAGCCTGATAGGTCAGTCACACAGGGACACGAGCCAGGACTGCACAGGCCTGCCGAGCTGGAGGTGAGGGCTTCTTCCCTGCAGGCCTTGCCAGGCTCTTAGAGAACCTGGAGGTCCATGAGGGGTGCCCTGACTCAGTTATTGTGGGGGCCACATAGGCCCACAGGCCTCCAGTTCTCAATCCCCCTCTCCCCCCCAGTGTTGTGGAACCTGCGCCGTCCACACTGCTGCTGCCGCCGCCTCCCCTCGGAAGCCTTCCAGATCACCTCAGCCCCTTAGAACCTCATGTTTCTTGTATTCTTAGCCAACTGGTGGGGAGGCAGGAACGCGGGGTGGGGGTGGGGGAGGGTGTGTGTGAGAACGGACCAGGATTTCGGCATTGTGCCTTCCTGAGCTCTGCGGGGGTTTTCATACAGGCCCCTGGGCTTCCTCGGCCTCGGTCTCCTTGTCCTGACTGTGGGGCCCTGAGTCCCTGAGGCCTTTGTGAAGATCGGGGAGATGGTGCCTGTTAAGGGGCCAGCTCACCGCCTGGGGGCACTGTGGAGCCTCTAGTGCAGCTGCCGGTCTCAGACTCTGAAGACAGGAATTATTGAGGAGGTTGGAGGGGGAGAAAGAAAAAGAGGAAGGAAGCGGAAGCAGGAGCTGGACCTGGGACCCCAGGGGTTGGCATTGTGACTGAGCCGCTCTGGTGCGTTGTCTGGTCACCGAGGGCTGTCCTTGCGAGGACAAGGCGTCCAGTGACTTCATTCCCATCTCACTGAGCCAGCACCTCGCCAGCCACTGCGCCCTGCCTCACCGGGAGCTCATTAGCAATGTGCCGTCGTCTCAGATTCCACATTTCGCCAGCTCCCAGGCGAGTCAGGGCACCTTGCTTCGTGGGAAGCGCTGACCCAGACCTCATTCTCACCCACGTACACCCCACCCCAAATGTCGTTTATCCAAGCGACGGGGGGTGGCAGAGCCGAGTGCGTGGAGCCAGCGTGCAGCTGCCACCCAGGCCCGGCAGCCTCCACCACTCGCTGGCTTGGCACCTCCCCAAGAAGACCGGGCGTTGGTGCGGGGCACCCTGGCTGCGGTGCCGGCTACCTGCCTGCCTCTCTCTCCAGGAATGTCCGACTTCCAGTACCTGGCTGTGCACACAGACGCGGGTGGCGCGCACAAGTCCATGTACGACAAGGTGCTCATGGTCAGGCCTGAGAGGGAGGACTTCTTCCACCAGGAGCTGCCGCTCTACATCCCCCCGCCCATCTTCTCCCGGCTGGACACCCCGGCGGACTACTTCTACCGCCCGGAGACACAGCACCGGTGAGCCCGCCCGCCATGGCAGGGACCGAGCGGAGGCGGGAAGCGTCCGCACAGGGCAGGGCAGAGAGGGCCCTGGGTGAGCGGCGGCCAGTGCTGTGAGCTGGAGGCCCTGACAGGACGGAGACCTGGCTCCGGCTTGGTTCCAGCCGAGAAGTGGCCGTTGGGTTTAGCTCCCGAGCACAGGGACGGCATCTCTGCCTCAGGCGGCTTCTCAGGTGCCGGGCGTTAGAAACGCCAGGTGACGCGCATCCTAGGCCGTTACAGGTCCCGGCCCCACCATGCGTGCCCCCGAGGCCCGTGAGAGTGCTGTTCCGTGTAAAGGAAACGAACGCTTCCAATGACAAGAGACCCCAGGGCTGTGGGCAAGGCAGGTCTGGGGGTGCCATGGCTCTGTTGGAGACCAGCAGCCACAGTGACAGGAAGGAGTGGGTTTCCTTCGTGTAGCAGCCAAGGCAGAATGGCATTGGGGAGAAAGGAAACCCAATTGGAGAAGAATGGCGTGGCCGCCGCAAGCAACTGCTGCAGCCTCTCTCAGAAGCCTGTGCATGTTTCTGCAAACGGGCTGGTCCAGGCCACATGGCAGCCCCGGGCCCCACTTCTGACCCCCACGCCTTGCTCATTGCACACTGTGTGTGTTTGCATGCTTGCCTTTTTCTAATCACACACAGAAGGGCACAGTTTTTTAAATGGCTCGATTTCGGTGTGAGCTCCACGGAGGTAGCGATTTGGCCTCCTAGTAACCCCGGTGGCTAGGGCAGCCCGGCCCAGGAGAGGCCTCTGCGAGGACTTACCAACCCGTGGGTGAAGCTTTGGGGGAGTGAGATCAGGAAAAACAGAGAAACAAATGGAGAAGGACGGCTGGAAACATGGCCCCAGGTGGAGATGCTCGTTAAAGGGCTGTCCATAGCATGTTAGCTTCCCAAGTTGGAGGACTTTAGTGCCTGCTGACTTGGTAGCCGAGGGCCACCTCCCCCTGCTGGCCGCGCTGTCAGCTGTGCTCAAGCCCATGGACCAGCGCCTCCAGGCAGAGCAGCTGTGCCGGGCCCTGTCAAAGAGCCAGCCCTGGCCCTGCCGCCCCCACCCCACCCCCTGGAGGCGGTGCTCAGAGCTGCCCCCACACTACGGAGAGTGAATTGGGATGTCACCTTTGGAGTTGGAAACCCATCCCCAGAAGTGTGCACCTTCAGATGCAAAAATACACACACCCCCCCCCCCAAGGGGTCACTCCAAAATGAGGTCAGCATTTTGGTGAGCAGCAGGTCAAATCCGTCTTGATTCCAGATGTTCTTTTCCTGTTTGCCAAGCAGTCCCACCCACAGGATTTCCCCGGTGCCTCTCCCCTAAGAGCTCAAAAGACGTGGCTATGAGAGCGTTTCCAGGTTAACTGTTGGTCACAGCCGGCCCAGCCAGGTCCTCTGAGGCCCGGTGTCCCCACAGCGTCCCCAGGAGGAGGGCCAGCTGCCCTTGGACCCACAGGCCCTCCGCCCTCCCCACAGGGTCATGGGTTTCTCGGCACCTGGAAAGCACCTGCCTTTCCTCCCAGCGCCGCCACCGATTGTTCGCTGCCGGGAACACGATGGGGGCCGGCCTGGCGGGTCCCTCCTCCCGCCGGCTGAGTGAGTGCAGGAGCCCCGTCCCTGCAGCGGGCCACTTCCTCATGGGGGTCCCTGGTCTCGGGGGCCTTTGACCAGGACACTTGCTGTGGCAGGAAGGTTTTACTGGAGTCACGGTCTTTGAAAAAGGCCCAGACTAGATCCTGGGGTTAGTTTTGTTTCCCAGAGTGAGGTCAGTGTTCATACATACGCAGTGGCAGGTGCTCACAGAGCGCCAAGGTAAAAAGGAAGCGGTGGGAAAGGCAGTAGTCACGGAATGAAGTGTGCCAGCCAGTGCGATGGGGTGGTGCCGGGGAAAGGAAGCCCGGGGTGACGGTGGCTGTTGAAGCTGGGGTGGCTCGTGGGCGCCCCTCACACTGTCCCTGCTTTAGTGCAGGTCGGATGCTTAGCACAGGTGCGGCCTCTGGGCGGCTCCTCACCGGCTCCGTTACTTCACGGAAAGGGCTGGCCTCCCCTCAGGCTGTTAGGGCTGAGTGAGTGAACTGGAAAAGCCAGTGAGCAGCGCTGAGGCCTGACTGCAGGCCCTGGGGGGCTGCGTGGCAACTGTCACCATCCCCGCCCGAGGGGCCTTTGGGCGGTTCCTAGTCTAGCCTGGCGGGTGGGTGCTGGCCTGAGTCTGAGGCCCCCACCTGGGGACAGGAGCCTCCTGCACACTCGGCCTTGCCCAGCTCCGAGCTGCGGGCCCAGCCTCTCCAAGCGGCCGTTGGCCGCCGCCCTCTCCCCCGGCGCTCAGCCTGAGGACAGACGGGTCTCGGGCGCTAAGAACCTCTCCCTGGCCCGGACCCCAGGGGAAAGTGCACAGACAGGCCGCTGGCGTCACGGGCTTGGCGGGCTGGCCGGGCCTGTGCCTGGTTCTCATGGGCGCCTCTGCCTCCAGGGAAGGCTACAACCACCCCCCCATCTCAGGCGAGAATCTGATCGGCCTGAGCAGGGCCCGGCGCCTCCACAACGCCATCTTTGTCAACTTCGAGGGGGACGAGGTGCCCGAGCAGCCGATGGAGGCTGCAGTGCAGACCTGGAGGAGGGTCTGCACCAACCCCATGGACCGCAAGGTGGAGGAGGAGCTGAGGAAGGTGAGCCCCGCTCCGCCCCGCCCCTGCGCTGCCACCCGGAGACCCAGCCGGGCTCTCCTCACTCTTGGCAGCTGGCAGTGCCCACCTCTTTAACTGGTTCGTTAGCACACGGCATGTTCTCATCTCCAGACGTCAGTCTGAGAGCCTTGCCAAGTGTCAGCCTGACTGGCACGGTGGAAACATTTAGGATTCTCTGATGGGTCCCTTTGGACGGCGAACAGTCGTGCATTGTTCAGATAGACTTCTGTGGAAATGAGGTTTCTGGAAATTCTCCCGTCGTGGGTTTGCAGCGTGCCAGGTGGCACAGCCTACCTGTGCCAGTTGGTGGCCAGGCCTCCCTGGGCGGAAGCCTTCGCCTTGCCCTCTGGCTGCGGTGCTGAGGGACTCGGGCTGGGTCTGCCCCTGGTGTCCTGCAGGCGCGGAGAGCAGGGCCTCGGCGAAGCCACCTCTCTGCCGCTGGAGGCGCGCCCCTGGTGGCAGTTCACTGTCCTCGGGGGACGGAGTGCTTCGTAAAGGGACTGGACACCTTGCTGAGCTGCTAGCAATCACGGGGGGAGCGGGCGGGGGGGGGGGGGCAGGGGGGAGGAGCACTGTCCCAGGTTCCCATTCTCCTCTGGACACGGCCCAGTCCTAACTGGCTCAGGCCCCTTCCTGCTTGGGCCGCCACACTGAGCCACACTGGCCTTTAGTCCTCCTGGGCCAGGCCATCTCTTCGGCCTTCATGCTGTGCCAACTCGGGGTCCAGAGCTCCGGCTCCTTTGGCCATCTGCTGCCCTGTGAGCTGCACAAGGACAGGCTGTGTCCCTCGTCCTTTCAGGACGTGTGCAGCCCTGCTTCTGAGCGGAGGGATGAGCGAGGTGTGCCCCGGCCCTGGAGCCTGGTCCCCGAGGCTCAGCCCGCCCTCCGCCGGCTCCCTTCGGGAAGGGTCCTCCAGGCCCAGCCCCCCCTGATTTGGCCGGCGGGCGGGCGGGCGGACAGCTGTGCTCACCTCAGCCCCTCCCCCAGCTGTTCGAAATCCGTCCCATCTGGTCACGCAACGCCGTCAGAGCCAAGATCAGCGTCCACCCTGACAAGCTCAAGGTCCTGCTGCCCTTCATGGCCTATTACATGGTGAGTGCCCAGCCATCTTGGTTCCCACCAGGGCTGTGCTGGTCCCAGAGGTGACCTCTCGGTGCCTGAGCAGGCCACCCTGACCCGCCCCGTCCCTGACCCACCCGCATGCTCGACCACTTGGGGTGATTGCAGGATTAAAGAGTCATTTCATAACTTTACACAAAGGGATTCTACACCTTTAAGTGATCTGGTCGAGTGCTGTGCGGGCACCTCAGCCTTCCCCGGGTGGCAGCTCCCGCTGAGGAGGAGCCTGGTGCAGGTGTCGCGGTTTCACAGCAGCCAGTGGCAGAGCCACCAGGCCCGGCCTGTCTGTCTGCAGAGCCCGGCTCCTCCCTGGGTTGAGTGGGGTTCATTGTGTTCCTAGCAGTCACGGGGGGAGTGAGGGGTGGGAGGGATGGGCACTGTCCCAGGCTCCTCATTCTCCTCTGGATGCGCACAGTCCTAACTGGCTCAGGGCCCTTCCTGCCCGGTAATCTCCCCCTTGGACTCATCCAGGCGGATGGAGATGGGATGTCATTACTGTGACTCCCAGAGGTGCTGGGGGAAGGAACCCTGCGTGCTGAGGGCCCCACGCAGGGTGGTGACAGGGGTGGGTACCTGGGCTCGGACCCAGACTTAGAGTCGCCGTCTGTCTTCCGCATGGGCTTTCTGGACACACGCCTCAGGAGGACAGTGATGCGTTCACCAAGCACTTCCTGTGGCCGGCACCGTGGCCCAGGCCCCGGGCCTCATCTCGTTTATCCTCACAGCACCTATGGGGGCTCATGTCATCCCACCTGAGAGGAAGGCTGAGGCTTGGGGAGACCAAGTGACCTGTCCGAGGGGACAGCACGTGGCAGAGCTGGGGGGCTGCAGAGAATGTCTGCCTCGCCTCCACTGCCCACCTGTGGGCTCTTGATGTGGCTCCTAGTCCTTCAGATCTTGAGGTGTTGCACTGCCGCCCTCGGAGCCTCCCCTCCGCCCCAGGCAGGCACCTGGCCTGTGCATCTGCGGAGCCGGCCTTGGCCTTGGCCCCTCCCACTCCCCCTTCTCTGCCTCCAGATAACGGGTCCCTGGAGAAGCCTGTGGATCCGATTCGGCTACGACCCCCGAAAGCACCCGGAAGCCAAGATCTACCAAGTCCTTGATTTCCGGATCCGCTGTGGAATGAAGTCTGGTAAGAATGACTACAGCTCCCTCTCCTGGGGTCTTCCTGTTCCTGTGCGCGCTGGTTCCACGTGCGGGGAGCAGGCCGCCCCGGGGAGGGCTGAACGAGGTGGACGTGAGGTGCGAGTTCGGGCTTGGCTCCACCCTGACCCTCGTTACTGAGCCACAGCCACTCCGCGTGGGCTTTCTGTGGCTCCCGGGGGGCGGGGGGCGGGGGGGGGCAGGCCGGGCCTCCGGCGGTGTCTGCAGCGAGCCACTGCGCCCGCCCCAGCTCCGGCCCTCACTGGAACGTGGTGGCTCCTGCCGCCCCAGGCCCATCCCGGGAGCTGCCCCAGTGAGCCCTGTGGGCCGTCGCGTCAGGCCAGCGCCGTGTGCCAGACGGGCTCTGCCCACCCGCACCTGACACCCCCTCGCCTGCAGGGTACACCTCCAACGAGATGCCCGTGAAGGCCAAGCGCAGCACCTACAACTACAGCCTCCCCATCACCGTCAAGAAGTCGTGTGAGTGCTTCGGCGCGCTCTGCACATTGGGCCGGTGGCCTCTGGACTGCGGGGGGCAGGAGGGTGCTTCCAGCAATCCCTGGGGAGGGGCAGGGTAGCACCCCTACACTCCAAAGCACCGCTGTTGTCCCTAGCAGCCAACCAGCCTGTCACCATGCAAGACCTGAAGCAGGGCCTGGACCCATCCGGGGCAGCTGGCATGCAGAAATTGGCCTCCAACAAGTACAAGCTCAAGGTGGGTGCCCGGAGCCCGGGGCGGGCAGACTGCAGCCGGCACAGCAGAGCCAGCCCCGGGCCTGGCAGGAGGCTCTCAGCTCCGGTCCGAACCTCCCAGGACCTCCCAGGGCGTCAGAGCGGCTTTTCTGCACACCTGCTCTGGCTCAGGCCTGTCGCCCCACTGGGTGCAGGGACCAGTGACTCCTGTGGCCCAGGGGTGTCTCCAACACTGCCCGCCCAGGGGCAGGCTCCCCCTGACGTGCCCGTCTCCCCTCTTGCGCAGGACTCGGTTTACATCTTCCGGGAGGGCGCCTTGCCGCCGTACCGACAGATGTTCTACCAGCTGTGCGACCTCAACGTGGAAGAGTATGTAGCTGAGGGCGCGAAGCCCGCGGGAGGCGGAGGGCAGGGTCGGGCTGTGAGGCTGGCAGCAGAGCTCCCTGCGAGGTCCACTCCCCTCAGCCTCCCTCCCGGGCTCAGGTGCTGCCCGGAGAGCCCTGTGTCTGGGTCGACAGGGGCCACCCCTTGGGTCCAGGCAGGGGGCGGGGCTGGCCATGGACGTGGTGCCTGTGGCGTCTGCCTCGCCTCCACTGCCCACGTGTGGGCTCATGATGGGGCCCCCAGCCCTTCAGAACCGACCAGAACCCGAGACCTTCAATCCGGTTGTTCCTAGTGCTGCCTTGAAACCAGGGAGGGGCGCCGGGGCAGCTGCGGCCCGTTAGACCCAGCGGGAAGGCGTGCGGAAGCTAACTCACCACGCCCGGGGGGGGGCACCCCGCTCCGTGCCTCAGGGTCGGGGAGCACAGCCCAGGGCCCAGCGGTCCTGCAAGCTCATTCCGCTTCGTCCTCGGTTCTCAGCGCTGCTTTCCAAGCACAGCCCCTCGCCTGGCCGCACACTGGCCCGTTAGCAGGAGCTGCCGTGGAACTCCGTGCTCCCCCCTCCCCCCAGGTTGCAGAAGATCATTCACCGCAACGACGGGGCCGAGGAGAGCTGCACCGAGCGGGACGGGTGGTGCCTGCCCAAGACCAGTGACGACCTGCGCAACGCCATGTCCCTCATGATCCGGCAGATCATCCGCGCCCGGAGGCCTGGTGAGCCCGGGGGAGGGGCGGGGTCCCTCTGCCGATCTCCTCTCTGTGGTGGCACCAGCCCAGGGGCCAGCACCCAGGCTGCCTGCGGCCGTCATGGTTACCACTTCACCTGCCTCCCCCTCACACCTTCCCGCCGTGTCCGCCCTGGGAGACGGGCAGTGGGCCAGGTCCTGTCACCCTGTGGGGCCTGCCGGGGTGGACGGTGGGGAGGGGCAGGTAGCCCTGGCAGCTGGGCCCCTGAGGAGGGGCGTGAGCACCTGCTGAGTTGGGCTGACGGAGCAGAGGTGCTTAGTCTTGTGTGGGACCCAGCCCCTCGGCAGCCTGTTCCAGGCTGCGGGCCCTCTCCCCAGAAACACTCCCCAGAAACACTCAAAGTGTGCCACCTGGCGTCACGGGCACCTCGGGAAATGGTGTGCAAAGCATGCAGCTCCACAGTCCGACATGCCAGAGTGCCAGGTCCCGGCACCCACGCTCCGCAGTAGCTCCTGCTGGAGCCCAGGAGCTGGTTCTGTGGGCCAGGGGCCCAGCCTGGGGCCTGGGGCAGGAGCCTGCTTCAGCACCCGCTGTCTCCTGCCAGCCCTCTTCTCCAGCCCGGCCAAGACTGATGGCGAGGGAAGGAAGGAGCAGCTGACGGGCGAGTCTGGGGAGGAGGAGGAGGAGGAGGAGGAGGAGGAAGAGGAGGAGGACTTCAAGCCGTCGGACGGGAGTGAGAACGAGATGGAGACCGAGATCCTGGACTACGTGTGACGCAGGGTCACGTGTGACCCCAGGGGCAAGCCAGGGCTCCACAGCGGCGACGGTCGCCAGAGCAGCCCTGCAGGCGCCCGAGGAGCTGCGTGAGCTGCCAGGGCCGCGCGGGACAGTCCACCAGTTGGCACCAGCGAGAGCCGGAGGTGGAGATGGTGCCGCCAGGGTGGGGGTCAGCTTGGCTTGGGTCTCATGACTGATGGCAGGGACGGGGCCAGGAGGCTGGTGTGTGGTCACAGCTGGCTGGAGCCTGTCCTTGCGTTGGATCCTCCTAATTGGGGTTAGCCTGGCAAAGGCAGGCCCAGCTGGCATTGCCGGCATTAAATACCTTTCCCCAGGAGACTTGGTATTAGAGTGGCTCAGAGCCCCTGCTGGGGGGTGTGGAGGCCGTGGGCTGCTGGACCATCACTGTTCCTTGGTGGTCTTGTGGGGCGGTGCTGGGACAGCTGAGCACAGGCCTCATGCCCTCGCCAGGTGGGCCCCACAGCCCAGAGGGCCCCACAGCGGCGTTCATTCACCGCTCACTGCTCCAGGGCCTCTAGAAATAGGCCCTGGTCCCACGGCTGCCGGAGCGAAAGGGCAGGGTCTCGGGGAGCCTCCAGGACAGACCAGGGACCCAGGGCTCCGTCCCGGGACCTGCCTTGTAGAGAAGCTGGCCACCCGCCCGCCCAATGGCCCCACTCCCTGCTGCCAGAGATGGCACAGCCAGCACTTCTGGGGCAGCTCTCCCAGAGGCAGGCTGGGCCCAGGCCCACACTCCCCACCCCACCCCGTCCCACGTGTTACCCTCAGGGCCTCTGGTCCCCACCTCCAGGAGCGGCCGGTCCCTATGCCAGCCTGAGGAAGGCAGCCGGGCAGGGACCTCCCCAGAGTCACTGGCACCGGCCTCACTGACGGGCCCCCAGGTCCTGCCACACTTAGAAGTATCTGGTGACTCCTCACTCAGAACCTGACACATCCCACTTTGGAAAAGCTTTTTTCTTGTGGAAAATACCAAGTACCCACCGAAATAGACAACTGAGTAGAGTTCATGCTCCAAACTTCTCCCCTGGCAGCTCGCCGTCCTGCTGGAGGCACCCACTGTGCGGCCCTCGGGTAAGGGAGCCTGACCAGCTCGGCTGGGCTCCCTCGGCCGCCCCTCGGCCTTCTGCCTCGTGCTGGACAGCCACGTGGTTCCTGGGGGCAGGGCTTCCTGGGGGCTGCCAGCCTGTGTGCCCGGCGTGCCGCTGCCCCGTGTCCGCTGGGCATGGACTCCCTCAGACAGCGGGACAGGTGCCCCCCACTGCGGGGCTTAGGATGTGGCACCCCAGCAATGGCCAGTGGGGACCAGGGGTGCAACAAACACCTATCTCGGTGCCCAGAGTGGGTTCTCGACATTGCCACACCAAGGAAGGTGCGGCCTGCGTGGCCGGAAGGCGGGGAGGACCAGAGGGCATGTCACAGGACACGGGGTGACGTGAGGCCACTCTGGGAGGCACACAGACACCTTTGGTGAAGACACCTCTGGCCACACGCTGTCGGCAGCGCCAGGGCGGCCCAGTGTCTGAGTGGCAGTGCCTGCCTGCTGTGGGGTCAGCACAGGTGGGTCTGCCTGCACAGACTGCGCCTTCAGGGAAGTCATTCTAAGGATTTGCCTCAGTTCTGTGTGCCGTTAAGTCAGTGGGTGAGTTTTACTCGGTCAGCTCTGTCAGTTCAGAACCCGATACCTCCAGCCCAGTTACCCAAGTTAGCATAGACTTCTGGGAACCCATAGACCCTCCACGCACCCAACAACAGTCATGCAATCTTCACACAGAAAAACATGCAAACCCGCCCATCCGTGCATACTCAGCAGGGGTTCGAGAAGGGTTTTCCACCAATGAGATGCTCCCATGTTAACACCTTTATACCAAAAAGCAGAGAACACCGGGGCCCACATGTGGACCAGCCTCTGCAGAGAGAAGCTTAAGACTCCAACCCAGCTTCTTCCATGGAAACCTGGGCCCTATCCCAGCCTCTTGACCTGGGCCTTAAGCCAGCCTCTTGACCTGGGCCCTAAGCCAGCCTCTTGACCTGGGCGAGTCTATTTTGAAAAAGTGGCGTTAGAAGAAGTTTTAAGTTTAAAAAATTTGGCTCTTGAAAGAAATTTCAATCATTGTACTGTTGATATTTGGCTCTGTTGACTAATGAGTTTGCCGGCCACTGCCCTAGCTGGTTGGCTCAGTGGATAGAGCATAGGCCTGCAGACTGAAAGGTCCTGGGTTTGATTCTGGTCAAGGGCACATGCCCGGGTTGTGGGCTCAATCCCCAGTGGGGAGTATTTGGGGGGCAGCCAATCAATGATTCTCATGAATGTTTCTCTCCCTCTTCCTTCTCTGAAACCAATAAAAACATACTAAAAAACAAATTGGTCCTTACCATGCTTCAGAGGACTGTCACCCAGAGCTGTGGCTCAGGAGTTGGCTCACCAGTGGATCCCCGATGAGATGGGAGTGAGGACAGTCTTCAGGGGTGTACCCTGGGCCGTGGTGTGAGAGGTCCGAGAGTCCAGCCATGACTCCGACCTTAGCTGAGTCACGGCACCATCACTGTCCAAGCAAAATCAGAGCGGACAGAAGTTAAAGTGGCAAAACCAGACTTTATTCAGGACTATTGCAACAGGGAGCAGACCTCTGTGGGCCCGAGCTCCCTCTATAGCGGGTGGGCGAGGGGGTGCTCCAGCCAAGGAGCAGGGCGGCCCGTGGTGGGAAGTGACTCATCGGGACCCAGGGTACGGGCCATTCCGGCCAACGGGGTCCTGGGTGAAGACACCCGCAGTGACCAGAGCACCAGGATCGGTGGAGGCTGAGGAGCCGAGGGGATGCAGAAGTGATCCGATCCGGCTTTGTGAGAGATCTGTGGGAAACGCCTCAGGGAGCCCAGAGGTTGGTCAGGGAGAGCATCTTTGCTGGACTTCAAGCATTGGCCGAATCTCCTCTGAAGTCAATGAAAACATCCTATCTAATAAAGAGGGAATATGCAAATTGACCATCACTCCGCCATAAAGCTGGCAACGCCCATAGCCACAAGATGTCGGCACCCAGTCCTCTCAGCCCCAACCGAGTCCCCCAGCCCCGGTGAAATGAATGCCTCTAAAGTCAGCTTCCGAAAGCAAGATTAGCAGGAAGCACCCCACTTGCCGCAGAAGCCAGCGGGGATCTCTCCCTGCGGGACACTGTCGCCTCCTTGGGATACTTCCGGGCAAGCTCACTCAGCGTCTATGTCGCCGACCCTGTGCAGGCGCATGTACACATGCGAAGTGAGTAACCACCCCCGTCATTAAAACATAGGGCACGGCCCTCTTCCCTTCCTCCTCAATGCCTATCAACAGTGCGGTCCAGAGCACCCTCAGCACACGAGTCCCCGTCCCCATTCAGAATTACCTCCTTTAATTAATTTAATTTCTTAAAAATGAAGATCGTAACACACCAGCAGGGTTACATATATATACACTAGAGGTCCCGAGCATGAAATTTGTGCACGGGATGGGGGGGTCCATCAGCCCAACCTGCAACGATGCAAGCGTTCCGTGCCAGGCCTGGCTGGAGCCCTCTGTGGCCGGGTGGAGAACACTTGACTCATTACTGGGGCGAAGACAGCGTTTCCCTCCTGCCCCCAGGCCACTCCATGCCCACTGCCCAGAGGCCCTCCGCAGCCATGGCGATGAAGCAAGCATTCCACCAGGCCGTCCTGCCCTCCCCCACCCTCCCCCGGGGTTGGGGGACTCTGTTGGGGCTGAGAGGACTGGGTACCGCCATCTTGTGGCTATGGGCCCCACCATCTTTGTGGCAGAGTGGTAGTCAATTTGCATATTCCCTCTTTATTAGATAGGATGTTTTCATTGACTTCAGAGAGAGGAAGGGAGAGAGAGAAAAACATTGGTTGGCTGCCTTCAGCAAGCCCTCTACTGGGATCCAGCCCACATTCCCAGCATGATTGGGAATCAAACCCGCAACCTATCAGTGTGTGCAACCACCACACTCAGCTACTGAGCCACACCAGCTGAACGATTTTGTTTTTAACATATATTTTTATTGATTTTGGATATAGAAACATCAATGATAAGAGAGAATCATGGATCAGCTGCCTCCTGTACACCCCCAAATGGGGATCAACCCTGCAACCCGGCCATGTGCCCTGACCGGGAATTGAATTGTGACCTCCTGCTTCACAGATGGACACTCAACCTCTGAGCCATAGCAGCCGAGTATATTTTTCTTAATTTTATCATTGAGAGTATTACAGATGTCCATTTCCCCCTTTCCCCTCTCCACCCAGCTCCCACCCTGCCCGCCCCAGGCCTTCCCCTGTCTATTGCCTGTGTCTAGGGGCCCTGCATTGATGCACAGAAATTCTGGATTCATCTTTTCCCGACCTCCCTCCACCTTCACTCACAGATCTGTCCTGCAAATCTTTAGTAATCCACGGTGCAAATGTACCACAGCTGTTATCCACTCATCTACCGACGGGCACTCGGGCTGTTTCCAGATCGTAGCTATTGTACATAATCTGTTAGGAACACAGGGAGCACACACTCATTCTGATCGGTGCCTAAGGATTCTTAGGAGAGTCCCAGGAGGGGAATCGCTGGTCAAACGGCAGTTCCTTCTTTGATTTTTGAGGCAGCTCAGTACCGTTCCCCCCACTGGCCGCACCAGCCCCCATCCCACCGGCAGGGCACGAGGGTTCCCTCTTCTCCTCACCCGCCAGCTCCTGTGGCCTGTGGTTTGCTGACCCTCCAGGCAGTGGAGCTGATTGACTCTGTGGGTGGAATTTGCTGATTGGTGGCCTCCATTGGCCATCAGTACACCCTCATGATTCTTCCTACAGAACAGGCTCCAGAACGGGACTAGCTGCCAGAGGCCTGTTAGCAAACGCACCCCTCAAACTCTTTGCTCCCCAGTCCTCAGCCACCCAGCCCAGCCTGCTCAGTCCTGCTGCCCACTGTCCTGCCGCCTCCCCTCCTCCATCCCAGGAGAGCTGGGCTCTGGATCAGCGGGCAGACACTCTGGCCTGCGTCCATGTGGTGCTGGGACAGGGCCTGCCCTGTGCCATCTGTCTCTATTCCCAGTAACCTTCGCAGGTGCACTGAGAGCACCAACTCCCCACCGCGGCTCCTGGGAAAGGCGGGCCATCTCTGCACCGGTGAACGTGTGTGTGCGCTTGTGTGCGCGTGTGTGTGCACGTGTGCACCTGCCTGACCTTGGCCCAGCCCGTGCCAGGCTGGAAATGACAGCTGTGCTGGTCCCACGCACACCACTTGCAGTGTGGCCACCCTTCAGGGAGGGGCAGAGGTCAGAGGAGGGAAAGGGGACTCTCCGTAGGCTGGCTCCCGCCCCATAAATACCCACGGGCTGGAGGCAGGGCCCCCCATCAGACACACGCACCATGGGGCGCCCGGAGCTGGTTGTCTTAGGCCTCGCCTGCTGCTTGGCAGTAGTGAGCTCAGCAAAGGTAAGCGAGAGCCTAGCAAACACGGCAGGAGACTTTCCACACCCCTAACCTGGCCTGGGACCTGGAACGGCACCGTGGAGGGGGCAGGCAGGTGGGGCGCTGGCACAGAGAGCCCCCAGAGCCCACCCAGCCCAGCTTCCCTGGCCCTTCCTCTGCCTCCTGCCTTCCCGCTCACACCATGGCCCCGCAGCTGACAGCCAGGACGCCATGACCTCCAATGTCAGAGACCACGAGGAAGGGCTGGGCCAGGCGCTCTCCAGGGCACTCAGGGCACTTCTGCCAACACAAGGGTCCCCCAGTCCCTGAATCCCTGTGCCCTCAGGGCTGATCTGGGCATCTTCCTGGGCCTCCAGGGCCCTGGATCTCCCTCTGCCCGGGGATGGCCCTGGCCCGGCTCAGAAGGGCGCTGGGCCCTGAGCAGCCGCCAGATCACAGCCAAATCGTTGGACCAGGAGTGTGAATCTCGGTCTATTTCAACCCGGAGCCTGAAGCCCGGCCCCCGAGAAGGGGTGACACCCCCCTGCTTGCCAGTGGCCGGGCCCCTCCAGGGGGAGTGGGGAGCCTGGGGCACCTACAGGACCCCTTCCCTCAGGGCCCTGCCAGGGGTGAGGAGCGGGGCTTCCGCAGGAACCCACAGCTGCAGGCTGGCCTGACTAGAGGCCCCACTCCCCACCATGCTGCTGTTCCTCCACCCTCTTCCTGCGCCCTCACCCTGCTCTCCGCACCCCTGCTGCCCCTGGACCTGCCCTTGTGCCCCAGAAGTTCAGAGACTGGCCCTGGCCCTGAAGGAACCGGGTTATTTCTTTTTTTTTTCTTTTCTTTTTTTTTCTTTTTTTCTTTTTTTGAAATATATTTTATTTTGTAAAATTTATTTATTTTTAAAATATATTTTATTGATTTTTTACAGAGAGGAAGGGAGAGAGATAGAGAGTTAGAAACATTGATGAGAGAGAGTCATCCACCAGCTGCCTCCTGCACACCCCCTACTGGGGATATGCTCACAACCAAGGTACATGCCCTTGATCGGAATCGAACCCGGGACCCTTGAGTTTGCAGGCCGACGCTCTATCCACTGAGCCAAACCAGTTTTGGCAGGGACCGGGTTATTTCCATGCTGCTCCAGCAGCTCCACTACCTCCCTACCCGCTCCCACACACAGTCACACACTCACACACTCACACACACTGCCCACACACTGCCACAGGGTCCCCACGCCCTTGCCCCTCCTGCTGGGGCCCTCAGGCTGACCTCAGTCACACAGAGACCCGTATGTGAGGAGACCCAGTTCCCAGCAGACCTGGCCCTCTGCTCCTTCCCAGCAGCCTCAGAGGCTGGTCAGGAAACATGCCTGGAGGCCTGGCACTGGGGGCTCTTCCTGAGCCGAGAGAGGAGAGGGAGGAGGGAGAAAGAGAGAGAG